TCTCTCTCTCTCTCTCTCTCTCTCTCTCTCTCTCTCTCTCTCTCTCTCTCTCTCGTCGTTGTCTTCTTTGCAGGTACGCGGCACCTTCCTCCACCAGCGCAGCTATGGCGGACCTCTTCTTCGGTGATAGTGAACTTCAACTTTGGCGCGCTTCAGCTATGGCGCCCCACTTCGGCATACCGCGGACAACAACGGCGTGTGAGATAGCGGGTACCAGCTCCGATACCAATGCAATCAGACTCGCTTACTTTTCCACTTCGCATTCACGCAAACAGATGGCAAGTCACACTGGGGCTTAGCGCCCACTCAAAGCTCAGAGATATGTAAGTCGGAAACACAGTTCAGATACGTGCTCGCTTCAACAGGCTATGGCGCATCAGCGCCTGTACAACTCTCTGTTCGTCACTGTGCTCAACTCCGCTGTTCACACACACTCAACTCAGGATCGCCCTGGATATCCCACACGCGACACACTGTATCACACACACGCACACACTACACTTGCCTACCACCTACGGCGGTTATGGCCGCTTAACCCTGCAGGTCCCTGCTGGCTATGGCTACGCAACCCCTACTGTGCCCACTTCGTCTTCGGGCGCTCTGCAGACCACCTCTCACAAGTCGCTCAAGCAGCGCTTGCGCATGGCTTACGCAGAAATGAATGAATGGCTGGGCGCTGCCTCTTGATTTATACTTCTGTAACTCGTTGGCCTGCCCCTTTCTCATGCCCTTGGTGCACACAGCCCCTCACGGTACTTGCTTGACTGGACTGTGACTGACTGGGACCGGTACCGCTGACTGCATGGTTTGCACTGTCAACTCGATGCAGTCGCACTGCCGACGTAACGCAGTTGGGCTCACCACTTGCCCGCTTGCCTCTGTCCAAACGTGAGACAACTTTGAAAGGCCACTTCCGGACCTTCCGGAAGTCTGTGGGCTTGGCCTTTCGAACACTGTAGCAGCTACGACCTTGACCTTGCAGGACTGTAGCAGCTATGACCTTAACCCTTCAGAAGAGCTACAGCTACGACTTCTAGACTCACTAAGACCTCTATCCTCCAGGTCTACAGATCAAACCCCTACAACCTACGGACCTACGACAGCCTACCAACTTTGTTGTGAATACACAGGTCATGGGTTCAACTCTCGGGGTCGACACAGATACTGTACACAGGTGAGGTAAGAACTAGGGATCGAGCCCTGGGATCTGCATTCGCTACTGCTAACAGGTGAATACCGTTTCACCCGCTAGGGATGTAAAAGCAGCTGGATGCAGAATCTGAGGTACATGCGATAGTACGCTACACAGCGTGCGTTACAGCCCCATTGTAATCATAGAAAGTACCGAAAAAAAAAAAAAAAAATGAAAAAAAAAGAAACATAAAATCTCTGGACGTGAAAGCAGCCGGATGCAGAATCCTGGGTACATCTGAGAATCTTGGGCGTTACAGCACTGCTGTAATCATGCCAACAGCAAAACAAAAAAGAAAAGAAAAGAAATGAAAAAAGCAACCATGCTATGGACATGAAAGGAGGTGGATGCAGAATCTTGAGCACATGTGAGATTGTGTCCTTTGTTGCAAAGTGTCCGCTGCCCGTTTGATGCGTTCCTAGAACCATTGATGTGAGCACCCCTCTTCACGGCCTTTCCCAACACAAAGTCCATATTGGAGTCTCGTTTTTTTTTTTTTTTTTTTTTTTTTTTAATTACAGGCTGACCCGTGGGGCGGAAACATTTCGATTTGGCCGGGCCTCCTCGGGAGCCCCGAAAAATGCGGTGTGATGTATATTACTATATTACTAATAATATTAGTATATTCCCGTTTTTCCCAACACCCAGAAAGGTAGTGGTTGTTTAATTGATTAAGAAGTGAAGACTGAAGCTTTGATGGCTGCTTGTGGTATAGGTTTTCAATCTGGAATTTAGAAAGAGATGCAGCTCACAGCAGACGCGTACTAAGGCCTCCAAGCCAAATGGTGATTTTGCAGAACCATATCTGGGATCACCAGAGGCAACGGAAAGTCGAACTGGATCGATTAGACTCGTCCACTCAGTAACACCTGATGTTGCACATGATAAGGTAGTTAAAAATGAAAATGTACTTGGCACATGCCACAGCACAGTGCATTCCTTTTCTCCTTTCTATCCCTACACTTGCGGCAATTGCTAATGTGAGAAATCTGGGCATCCGTTCGCGATCCTACCGGGCCGACGCGCGATCTTAAGATTTCGAAATCGTGCGGCAACCCAGGTCGTTCGCGGTTCCTACCGGGCCACGACCAGGATCGATGCGCGATCTTAAGATTTTAAGATCGCGTGATGATCCGGGCCATTGGCCAATCGCCCAGATCAGAAGTTCTCAGCCCAATGGAAGTTAGGGCGGCCAGGCCTGGGAAAAAAACGGTTCTGGGTGGGCTGATCCCCGATTGGGTGCAGCAGTTCGGCCCTTTTCCCACACATGTCTTTGGCGGCGCATAGTGGGCGGACACACGCACGCGGTGTATAGCGGACAAGACAACATGCACTCACACGGACGCCCGCCTGCCCACCCACTCAAGTACACTTACAAACACACACACCCACACACCCACACACCCACACACCCACACACCCACACACCCCACACACACACATGCACGCATGCACGCAAATGCATTGTGGGCAGATTGTCAGGGTTCAACCTCCTGATGAGTTGGTGAAAGTCCAACAAAACAGTATGGCACAGTCATGTTTTTTCTTTTATGGAGTTGCACGCGCGCTAGAGAGCAAGAGTGCGTGCACGCAAATGCATTGTGGGCAGA